AAAAAAGGTGAAAAGGTTGGTAAGTTTCCGCTTGTGTGAGATGTCGATGGTCAGTTTTAGACGATCGATTACCTCACATACATAGAGGGGGAGTAATGAATTGCTGTATGATTAGATCGTGCCTTACGGAAGTGCTGACGGAAATTGAGGTGTTTATTAGGGAAAGGTAAGCGACGTCGGTGACCGATGACCGGCCGAATCAAAACAATGCATTCTAAGGCACGTAAGTCACCAGGGCAAGCGTCATGGTAGTGAACGAGAGCAGGTAGATGACAAATCAATTTGCACCATCGAGATGCCCAGAGATATCACTGCCCCACTGCTAGGTTTGCTCGATTGAGAATAACGAAACTTCCAACCACTTCGAAGAAACATTTAAGATAAACCATGCAGTCACTGTATTGAATGTGTCTCCTAAGGCGTTGGTGTTGGACGTAAACCCCGTTGACAGAACTTCGTTAAATTCTCACCCTCGTGACAGTTTGCTGTAACAGAGAAATAAAATTCAAATTTACGAGACCGAGTCTACTCGAGCGTTTCGCACGTATGCCCCAGGCCGTCTTGAGCCGAGAGCCCCTCGCGCACGTATCGCACGTCAGATGACGACCGAAGCGTCGGGACGAAAGGTAACCAGAAACCGGCACACAGGGAGTCTCTTTGATCTCTGCCGACGGCTTCACCGAATTATGTCATAAATCAACTTCCGTTTTGTGTACAACAACGTGAATCTTACACCAATAAGGACGCACAGGGCGGTTGCTATTGACGCGTATAATGGACAGAGCAAAGTCATCGTGTCGTCCTTTACACATGCCGGTCCATCCCGTAGCAACAGTAAACACAATCTCGGCCACTCGCAACTCCATCCAATCATTCTGTCGACACCTTTGCCCTACTCATCCAATAAAATCGGATTGTCTCGCCTCGCGATTGCGTACGTCTTTTCGCACTTGCGTCACACTTCGGACGTGGGGCCAATGCGGGTGAAAGGTTATTGTCTGAATTTGGAGAGATCGTTGCCGTTTTCCCTCTCTGTATTTGCTGAATTATACGGCCGACAAATTAAGAAAGGAACGAGCATAAATCATTTTTCACTTAATTCGAAAGAAACTCGACGATTTATTTTTTTGGTAACCGGGAGTCGCTGTCTGACATGGCACACCGGGAATGCGTTTACCAATTTCAAGCTGTGGCATAATTATATGCAAACAATAAATTGAATTATATACATCAGAGACGCATGTTTAATTAAACTAAATTTCCGTCTTGTTTGTGCAGGGCATTCTTGCAAATGCGTCTCTGAATGTTTGTAAAAAAAAAATCATTAATGAATACTTTTACATGAGATTTTGTGATTTTGTTTTTTAATTTATCACAAATTGTGTCTATATAGATTTTATTTCCAAGACGCAATATACGCCAATGTGTTTCCTTCAGTTTTAGAATTCTGCTCTCTCCCAACCTCGTCCCCAGGGTGTCGAGCAGTACGCGCCCACCACTACCTGCTCTCTTACCCTGGTATTGGATCATTTGCATGTGCAAGATTTTTGAACACGTATGCAAATGAGGAGAAGTCTGGTGCCTGTATGTGCGTTACATTAGCGTTTGTTTTTGTATGCGGTGTCTAGGGTAAAAACAGCATCAATTCGTCGCGCCGTGAGTTATGGAAGCACGATTTTCATGAAGTTAAAATGTTACAATCTGGCCCGGCAATATGCAACATCACAAATTAATATGAGCAAATTGGAAAGGAAATGAGTATTTTTGAAAAGGCGTGGACGTTATAATTACAATGATCGTGAAAACACGTAATGCACGTTGGAAATTAGCACCACCAACTACACGATATAAATCCATTATACTAGCAAATTGCGGCAACGAATCAGGATACAGGAAGAAAGTTTCCCATCCAGAGCTTACTATTGGAAACCAGGTTGGAAATAAAGTAAGCACTGGGGACGAGGTTGGCTCTCTCCTGGCTGCCCAAAATAAATATCGACGGCTATTGTATACCTTAACACAACTTTTATTAAAATGCAATAAGGAGAAAATTGAAGTTTACAAACAGCCGTTATACTATTTTTATGTCTTAAAGTTTCACAACTTTTTCAAATGGATATTTGCGTTTTTTGAAACAACCTCATCACTTTTTCATTAACATTTCAACATGTTAGTTCCTATATTTACTTGTTCCCCTCTGTATGCGTTCAGCTACATTCAGTAGTCTTGCATCATGTTTAGGGTTTAGTAATTTGTACAACTTGAAAAAAAAATTCGGCAGGGGAATTCGCAGATTATCTCGAAATCCGTCCAGAGTGATGTATGCAGCACGCGCCTTGACCGCAGAAATCACGTGCGTAGACATACTGGCGCGTTCGGCAAAAGAAATGAAAAAAAGTGACCCAAAAACCCGAGGATTTATCGTTTCCATTAAGATCGAACGACTCCGGAAAGAGGTGGGCTGTGAGACCGACACAGGCAGGCAATTAGACAGGGGAGACAATTTAATCTAATTTCCACTTCAACTTTGCCTCAGCCTAGTTTTCATGGGTGATCTATTGCGTTCTCTTGAGACGCGAAAACAGCGAGGATTCGGCGGATTTTCCTTCGGCAGTTACCAAGCTGTATTCTGCAAATATTATTTTTGATATCGTTTTCAATTAAGAAATTGATTTATTTGTTTCCCCTGGTGATCTTGCATTTAGAAGAAACAAATAGGAGTCATGAAATTAAAGTTGAAGCGTCCAATATAATTTTTAACAAATCTAAAACGACCGCTGATAAGGACTGCATTCAAGCCAGCCTGACTAACTCCAGAACCCATTTGCTGTAGGAAGGTAAATCTTCGCGTCGTTATCAGTTTCGTTCTCTAGATCATCACGCACGTACGCGATGTGAATACAAACGTGAACGAACAAGGGGACCTAGGAACGAAAATGCCGGATGTGAAAGGTTGTACGTAAATGCGTTTTTAACCATCTCCAAGTGATTTTCTCATCATTTATTTCCAAAACCAAAACAAAATTCCGACATGAATTTTTCTTGGGTAGATTACAGTTGCAAATCATCATCTGTCAAAAATTATAGCAAGAAAAAGGGCGACCTACTGTAAAATGCCCAAAGGCAGGGCGAGCGAGGGTTCCAGAAAGCTCGTCGCGTGACCTTTCACTGTACGGCTCTATAGTGACGAAGCGTTCGCGAACTTTACCTCTACGAAACACTGAACTGGAAGCAGATATGCTATCCTTCCTGATCTTGGATCCATTAAATTCGAGGGACTGAAATCCAGCGGAGACCATATCTCAATTTTGTTCTAATTTGTCCGCCTACGGTGCACGTGCGAACCATATTTCAATGAAAGGTGTCGTTTCTTGTTGCAGCAGAAATGTCCAGGCAAATTTGCAGAGAATACTGCTTGCAACAAGGCTCAGATTAACAGCAGCAGCAACAACAACAACAAAGCGGCAAATTCTCACGAGGTTTTATGGAAGTTATAGTGTCACCCTTCTTTATTATGTTATCATCTTTCTTTCTTGCTCAATACAGCGGCGTATTAAGCGAAACGGTGATACAAAATAACGGACTATTTTTAACCTGTTTACTCCCATATCATCCAAAAATGCATAGTTGGGTTGCATTTTGTTTCACAATGAAAGCAAGACAGGAATATTTCAATCGGTTCCTACTAACAATCAGAGCCTTCCAAACAATAAATAAATACTACGGGCAGATCAACAACAGTTCTACTTAGCTTATTAATCATATGAAAACCTCGTGCTTAATTTATCCAACGGCATCACACGACAAGTCAAAAACGACAAATTAAAACGAAAACCTTTTGGTACATTATGCAAATCTCTCGTTAGAGAGCGCGATTTAAGATGTTGCTTGCGACCACAAACTACCAATCACCCATTTTACAACGAAGCTCTAATAATTCAGAGAAAAGTGGTCGTGGTTTTCTGAGTTATATTAATAAATAAATGCAAGAGTGAAAAAAAATCATTCACTTCAAAACAATTCTCACATTAATGTGCACATTACAAGAAATAAATACTTCTACGTTCCCTCAATGTAATGTCTGTCTCTTCCAAATAAATAGGTGTTTTTTTACAATCTACTCAATAATCATGTTCTATTTTTCGGCACAATTCTCTAGACGACAGCGGTAACAGTCCTTCAAAGTCTACTTCAAGCTGTTTCAATTTATTTCATGGGCTTTGCGTTTTGTTTCCCACAGCCCAATGTACCATATAATAATCAGATGTTTATCTGGAATTTAGTATGCTCCAGAATTGTTCTGGAAACTTTAAACAATTCAATTGTTCACCTCGACTTTCGAGTCAGGGGACTTTTTCCCCATGTTAAACAAGTACTCTAATCCTACCTTCAGTATTCGCATATACAGGGTGAGTAAAAAAAAAAAAAAAAAACCAAATGGTGCCCCGTATTTTTCAAAAAAATTCTGCATGTAGCATTTTCCAAATCTAGGATATAGAAGCCCAATTAATAAGCTTTCTTTTAGTGCAAGAATAATTGAAATCGCTCATGTACTTTTCCAGTTATGGAATTTCGAACGCAAACACCGTTTTTTTAACCTTGTCCACGGATCACATTTAAGGTACGTGATATTTCAGCTGAAATGAAATCATGTCGCATCCTGAAAATTATATCAGAATAATCTCTTAAGTCTCCGCGGTAGCCAAGAAGAAGGCAGGGCAAGACTATAAAGTCTTGACATTGTACGCATGTTATTTTAACATTGGAAGCAGCAGGTTTTTAAGGAAATGCTATGATAAGTGCCAGTTATCATGGTTATGAGAGTGTTCTGATGTGTTTTTGGTATGTGAATAGTTTTCGTTTTGCTGAAATATCACTTATCGTGATCCGTGGACAAGCTTTAAAAAAACCGGTGTCTGTGTTCACAATTCCATAACTGGAAAAGTACATGAGTGATTTGAATTATTCTTTCACTAAAATAAAGCTTATTAATTGGGCTTTCATATCCTAGATCTGAAAAGCGCTACATGCAGAACTGCTTTGAAAAATAGGGGGCACAAGTTGGGTCTTTTTTTGTGACTCACCCTATAAAGTATCGTTTAAAAAAAGTTAATATTGCACCAGTTTATGACAATTAACGACAGTGAATGACAGTTGGGTATTAAGAGTTAATATTGTTAAAACTTGGAAACAAAAAATCGTTTTCAATTAATTCATAAGACCGAGGCATTTTGCGAATACATAAATTCATAAAATCATGCATGTAAACTTTGATCGGCTAATTTTGATACAACTATGATCATTAAATATATAGAATTCAGATGAATGCTTGTCGGTTGTAATGTTGTTACATATTTTTTTTCAGCACCATTTGGGTAGATCCACCACCACAAATAGCTATAGATTATATTATACAAAAGCTGGATTGTTTCTGTTGTTAATGTTAATGTTGTTAATAATTCAAAGTAACCTCGTCATAAATATTACAACATAATTTTCCTTTCTTTAAGTTATTTTTCAACAGAGCGTCACTTACAAATGACCTGCTGCAGCTTTCATTTTGTTAGATAAGGCGTAAGATAAACCCACTCAAAGGTACATGTGTCAGAAAACTAAATCGACTTGATCACGAGTCGGCCATTTTAAACTGAAAAGCGAGGTGAACTCTTTTGTTTTGAACTTGCGAGTAGAAATGAAAGCAATGAATAAAACTTCGTTATAAATTAATACCAGTCTGCTCTGATGAATAATTTAAAATGTGTGATTAAACATACCGTTTTTAGCCACATTTACAAACAAAATGAGAGAGGCTTGTCAAGCACTCCTATCATAAAATAGTCTGGTACCATCCCATTCAACAGTTTACAATTTGTAAAATAAATTCAGGGAACACGATCGAAAATGGCGGTCTCGGCAATCAGGTCTATTATTTAAATCATTGTCATCCCACTCGTGCTCAGTTACCACACACACACATAATGCTGGATGGAATAAATAGAACATATATTATAAGAATATATTACTAACATTTTATAAGACACCAAGTTTACTGTACAAGTAAATGCCCGTGAAAATATGAAGATTTCGAACTGGTTGGATGGATTGAGAATGCGTGTGTAGTATAGTCTGGTTCCCTGACCTGCCAAACATTCCTGCTGTCTCTTAATTGATCGTGCGTGCAGTAGGTCACGTAACGGATAATTTGATGGGGTAAAATCAAACTTTTTAGACACAGGAAACAATCGAGCTATTCCGAGCATATCGGAGTGGTATACGAGTTCGAAAAATCTCGGGCATTTTCGGGAATGTGCAGAATCGTGCCAGATTTGGTCACGTGGTATTTTGCGCCTACCTGACCCAAGATTCGACAGAATTAACATGCGTAGGCATAATGCGTAGCAGTAAACAGCCGTGTACAAAAAATGCTTTGCATTGACTCTACGCGTGCGCAGACGCATGCGCATAGATACGCAACTGAACACTATGATATATTTCTGCTCAATTCAACGGGTACTCGGCATGTACAAATAACAATTCTATGAAAAACATAAATAGCATAAAATATGTGCAAAATGCACGTCAGGAATTAAAGTGATGTGTATCAGAATATACTCTCTTTGTTAATTGTATTAAATATAAATAATTAATACCGAATCGAACCATTATACTTGTACGGTGGCCGTAGTTTGAAATCATGCCACATGTGAACAACCAGTGAACAGTGATGCACGATCGAGTTTTTTTTTTTTTTTTTTTTACATGCAAACAAATATAATGCATGTTCTATCCAGTTTAAAACTTCCATAATTAGTACCTTTTATAAGGTGTTTGCATTACATGCCTCAAAACGCTCCTTAAGTCAGACAAACATATAAATAACTTAGTTTAAAATGCAATTACAATACAATATGGTGTGCGCCTCCATAACCTTCGAGCTCATAAAATGTCTACACTTTCTTTCTTCTCTGAATGGAAAGCTGATGCGAGAACACAGAAAACACAGAAAGAGAGGTGGTGGTGTTTTTTTTCATAGACATTTGCATTCCTCCACAACGGAGTCCGTTTGCGTGGCCACCTCAAAACCTCCCGTGCCGTTCATGTACAAATAAACGGTTGGACTGAATCGGACGGGAGCACAGCACGGCGCATTCCAGTCATCCGGGTCGATGGTGTGCATCAAGGACTTGATGCGTGAATAGGCAGTGGCTGAACGGAAATTGGCCGGACAGCCTCCGGAGCACTGATACGACTTGTACGACGTGGGCTGTATGATCCAGTCACTCCACCCGAGTTCGCTGTAACTGACGTGCTGCTCGTACCGGCAGCAGGTCGTGACTCCGTCCCCCGGTTGGCAGTTGTAGTCGTGATTCGCCTGCCGTCTCTCACGGTTGAAGACCGGAGGGGGCTCGCGGTAAAGCACGTCGACGCGAGGCTGGAAGGCTGCGGTACGGGTTGATCCCGAGCCCTGCTCCAGGTAGAAGAGGTTATCAGCCGACCGTCCACCAGCGGTCACCACCAGGGCAAGCTCCTCTGCGTCCCCGTCGGTCCGGTCCAGCCACCCACGCACAGCCTCGGTGATGTGGAACGTCTTCCACCCCGGAGATTGAAGCGATACTTCCTTGGAATCCAGGAGCTGTATCTCGCTGCCTTCTAACACCGCACGGCCCTTTACCGTGGTGTTGTCTCGACGAACCATGAATATTGAGCAGGCTACCTTCTTGCCCCTCGGTGTGTGGTGACGGGTGTGACCCACGGGGTGGGGACGGAGGTACAATTTGAGTTTCCCGTCTGCCACGTCCTCGGCGCGTCTGCTGGACGACACCGCGCCCCCTGTACCGAAGAACAACGTGACTGGTTTCAAGTGTCGACTGAAGTGAACACTTTCCCTTGATGACCCTGAAGAGGAAAAAAATGAGCGAAACATGAAAAAAAAGGAACTTATCAACCTACTTAATTTTGGACTTGACTTCACCTTTGCCAAAGGAATTCACGTCCAGTTGACAAGCGCTTGTGTAAACATTAACCGAGTGCAAAGTTTGATGACCCGTGCTTTATCATATCAGTGTTGACTGTAAAGGGGCGTGGTCGATATTAATGAACTGAACCGAAGTCGAAGTCCATTCACAACTTCCTCAATAGCGAGGCCATTAATATTTTTATCTTGCAGAGATGTGATAATCGCACTCATAATATTCCATTCATAATTACCGGTACCGTTCTAAAATCAGCAAAGCCCAAAAGGTCAAGAGTCATACACAAATTGCTTATAGTAAACTAAACAACACAAATTATTTGTTATGTTGCAGCACCGTTTTATCCTTGCACTCATTCCCATCTTAACAAGATCACGAAGAAAATAAAAAAATATGCCGAAACAGGGAGTAAAAGTAAGTTTGTGTTTACAGAACTTGCTCGCACTAAATGTAACAAAAGGTCACCTGACAGTCTACACAAGACAAAACAGAAATGAATTCTAAAAGTCCCTATTGCAAAGACACTCATAACTCTTTCATTCGCCAGACTAGAAACATCTGGCGGTCTGAAATTCATACTCATTACACCTGTGCCCAAGTTCGCACCTGTGCCCCCCCCCCCAAAAAAACCCCATATACATCAGGGCCGTTATTTCCAGCTTGCTGCGGTTCAAACACCTGGCGTCGGATTCCTAGCTGACCTTAAACCTATAAATAGCCTCCGTGACAAAGAAAACCTCATAGTTTTCAAGTGCGGAGAATATTGAGGCCTTTGTCTCATCTCCTTTTGACCAAGTGCACGCACAGTGATGCCAACCTAGCATCTGGCTGAGACAAAAGAGTAGGCGGGTTGGCATTCCTCGTCCTTGTTCAAATAAGATTCCCAGCTTGTCAATCATCCCCATTCTGTCGCTGGACAGATTATTTATGTTTTTTTTTAATTGAAGATATATATTTGGTTAGGTATTTCCTGCGCGCACGTCGCAGCGGATGCATTAACCGACGTAATTACTACCCGGATTTGCTCATTTTCCGGGGCACCTGTCGTCGAACGCCCACATGGTCATCTTGACATTTGTACAGCTTTTTTTTTTCTTGCCGACGGTCACTGATGCGACTTAACCCCCACCCCCACTGCCAATCTTGAGACGGTCTCTCATCAAAGGAGTCAGCCTTCTCTGCCGAGTTTTCCAAACAATTTATAAAAACTAAATGAACAGATAAATATATAAATAGTTCGCCCCGAAGTCAAAATTCAGACACTGGCTCTCTGACATATTGGCAAACTCCCACTACAGTGAAACCACTGTCATAGAAACCTTAGCGTTGAACTCATCAAACGGAACCAGTGGCGCAGTCAGTAACAAGGAGCAAATTTTGTGGCTTTTGTTTTTAGGGGGGGGTACTCTGAATTATGGTGGGGTATGGGGGCACGTGCCCTAAGGCCCCCCCCCCCTCCTCCCCGTCTACGCCACTGAATTGACCGCTATAATAATTTTTTTTAAAGCCAATCATTCGGAAAGGTCAACGTTTGTTTACAAAGTGAACCCCACACGTCTGTAGTCGATACGGATGACGTTATCACTGTCATGATAGCATCATCAAACAAGGGCTATCTATCGGGCAAAAGCCTAGCCTATACAGAGACGCCGGCAACCATTCGTGTGTCCCTCTTTTTTGCGGGTCCCAGAGTGCAAGCCCATAGAATCCATCTTTGTTCCTATAACTACTTGACTGACTGATTGTCACTTGTTAACCGGGCAGTGCCATCGTGTAGGTTATCCATATCACCAAAGGGTGGGCTGAAGCTGATAGTATTTCGTGGATGTATTTCTGTGTCTGAAATCGCAAACAATAATCCTTCGCAGTGCATCAACAAAAAGACCAGCACAGATGAAATGGGCACACCCTTGACATTGAAAGGCAATGTTGGTGACAAATCTGTGGGAATCGGTGACAAATTCACGAAGGACACTCCCGCTCAAAAAAATATGAATCATCCACCGTCCTGCCATGACCCAATTTCACGCAAACCCGTGCGCGGTTTGCAACCCATTGCACGATCACTTTCAATTCCGAAGCGTGAAAAGTGACGGCTAGGTTCAACTTCAAAAGCTTTCGAGGAAACCCACCAACGCATACCTCATATTACTTGAGGCTGGTAGTTCCCTCTGCCACGACCTTGGGTGGTTAATTATACCCCTAGGCGCCGGTACGGTGCGGATACGCGTGGTTCGGCACTATAGTGAAGATGACTTTGTACGGGAACAGCTGAAAGCGCCGCGAACTTCCGAAGTTATTCAACCGGGCCATAGACGGGAAGTCAGGGTGGGCTGCATGCTTGGTCGCTTTATCATCGAAAACCAACATTTTACACCCATTTTCTATTTCGTTCCGGTCAACGCACAAGCTTTATTGCTTTTAAAAATTACTAAAATAATTTCGTGGTGGAAACGCAATACATACATTGGCCCACCGTTTCCAGCGTAATTCGTTCGTCCATGGGACATTCTGATTATGTTTCATTTGTTTATCGAACATGAGTGATAAAATTCCGATGTGATGGATCAAACTGAAAATGAAACAGACTTCAAAAAAGTAAAACAGTCAACTTTTAATAGGAACCCGTGAATGCAGGATTAACATAGCGCGACTTGTCCCAGTGCAATGGCGTTTATCGCAGCAATAGATCGTGGCCTTATCGGTTGAGTTTCGAAACATTCCTTCGTACGGGGTTGCTATCAGCCACTGAGTGCGGTCCTAGTTTCTGCACAAAAATTAAAAAAAATTCGAACATCGGCGCCAATGTTGCAAAACTTGGTTCACTTCAAACTTGGTAGGCCTACTCCAGAAACTGTTTGTAGCACAAAATTTGAGACCCAAACTTTGAAACAAGAATTAAATACAAACTCTTAAGTCTTCTTTTGACGATGTGATTTGATGGACAAGCAGTGGACTTAACATCAGCCGCAGAAGTATCATGGGCAAGAACCGCCATCATACATTGTATATACTAGTTTTTCATTTAATAAAACTAGCTGTTTCGCAAGTCCCTATGTAAGTACCTTTATACAAAGATTCAAACCATTCGGACTTGTACTTCAGAAGATAGGCTTTGAAAACAAATGCACCTTTATAATGTGACGTAAATTGACACCTGATGACGTCTTCTAGGACGATCTGTGGGTAATTGGCTAAGTGTATGCCAAGTCCAAAGTCGATCGGACGTAAATGCCAAAGTGTTCTGAAACGCGCATAAACCAGTGGAGAGGAGTCTGAAAAAGGAGGGGGGGGGGGGGGAATGAGGGACAAAAAAAACTTTAACGAAAACAAGATAGAGCTGTTTCGGTAGATATACCGAAACATCTAAATATGACCTTTTTTTCAGAAGCGCTGGTGTTGCTGTGTACTTCCATCGGGCATAGGGTTATCGAAATGCGTTACTCATATTGGTTTATCTTTCCATGCGCAGGTGCCTTTTCACCAGTGCACTGACCCCAAAGTAGGTACCCTAGAGCTAAATTGCATTTTACATTTTGGCGCCCTTCATCAGCCGAGCATTGGCAATGGAGTACCCAGATTGCATGGTCCTCCATTAGTGACCTCATCTCAGAGGTCCCATCTTCCCCAGTGTCCCTACACACACGTGTTGATAAGAGTTGCGGGGGACGTCCTCTTCTGCGGCGGCCATGTCGTGGCTCCGCAGAGCACCAACTGACCAACTGCTAGCTCCTTGTGTCTCATCGCAGAGCATGAGGAACAGCGCAGAAAGTTTTGGGAGCCCGCTGTATAGCACAGCGTTGGTAATGTGCTCTTTCCAGCTCACGTTCAGTGCCGCCCTAAGCATTCTTGTGTAGCATCCATCGAGAGACTTTTGGATGATGTAAGACTCTCATCCCTCATGGTTGCCAACCATGATACAGGAGTACTGTCTCAACTGTAGCTACAAAGAAGCGACTTTTGATGCTTGGGGAGAGATTAGCTGTCCAGATCCGTCTCATGTTGTTCAGAGCCTTCCATGTTAGACCAACATGGAGACACGCACGTACGACGCATGCGCACGGGTTTCGCTCAAGACCGTATGGATGCCAAGACCTGACATTTTGTAGTTTATCACTCAAATTAACTCGTTTCGACTCATTAGCTCTACCTGATTCCGGTGCTCCCCCCCCCCCCCCCCCAAAAAAAAAACATTTTAAAATTTGACAATTTCTCATACGATTTTCATCAAAATATGCTCCAGGATTTCCATGCTACAGTGCAAATAATAACAGGAAAATATTAGTTAAATACTTGCCAATTTTAGAATTCAATTTCTTCAGTTCAGCGTTTTGTCTTTTTTTTGATAAGAACTGCATGCCTTCCACTGACTGAAGATGAACGACTGAATGCAAGTCTAGCGAGCTACCCATGTATGCCACATAATGTGAAGATAAGTCACATGACACTCTGACTTATCTTGACACGTGACTTCGGTTCAAAGTTCAAGCATTTTAAAAGCATTTATCCAAACAAAAGCTTCATAAACTTGTCATTTTGAATACATCTTCAACACAACGTTGTAATTAAAATTATACAAAATACATGAAGTTGTGGTGTTTGATTATGATAACGAATAAAGCATTGGAAGCGCTTTATATTTTTCGTTTACTATCTTTAGATAATATTCTCACTATTTTTAGAAAATTATCATCAGATAATCTCAAAACCCCATGTGAGTAAATTTATCAATAAAAAAAGACCGGAAATTGTATGAAGAGCTGTGTCCACCGGAAACCCGACGAAATTGCGAAGGCGTTGGGTTGTTTAGTAAAACTAATTTGTTATAATTTGCAAAACTTAACGGTGGATACATGTATTCGAAAATTAGCGAGAATTGTAAAGGGTGCAGACGAAGGGACGCCGTCTGCGAATGCATATTTAAAAAGATACATATGAAATTTTTTGTGGCTTTGCGGTTTTTATTATTCCATACTACAGATGGAAGGAAGTCAGTGGAATATGACAGTAAACAAAATTTTATGAATTGAGAAAAAAAAATCATAAATCACAGAATCTATTTTATGTCTACATTCCATCGTCCTTTGACGAGCATGCTTGTCAGATTCCACACGTAAACCACAGTGATTGTTCGGGGCGATAATCCTTTGTTTGATGACAGCGGTTATATTTATCATAAGGCCACTCTGTCGGCCCGCGATCCGAAATTCCAGTCTACATATTTCGAAATACGATACACAGGTGATAAATAATTTCAGGATAATAAAGAAGGATCATATTTGACATGTACAACCACCGGATAATGACGGTGGCTACCCTTTAGGTTCAAATTTTACTGTCAGCTTTATAGACCAAACGTTTGGAAGGAACAAGTGAAGTATAATGATTGCATCACATCATTATTTACCTTCTTTGTTCTTTTTTTAGTTTCGGGTATTTCCCGGCACATCCCAGATATAGTTCAAGATTTACACTTCCCGTTGTTTTTCTGGCAAGATATCATGACCTGAATTTGGGCGGACGTTATGCGGGCATAAACTCAGGAGCCGGACGTGGTTTTGTGGTAGGACAATATATATTACGGTCACTCAAGTCGAGGGGCACGGACAAATATTCCCCACAATATTTATGAGAGGGTGTTTCAGTCTCGGACTTATGATTGCCCGAACAGGATAGTTTGAGTTTCTGGAAGGTTCCGGTAGATGGCAAAGACCCAAACCATTCCGAATTTATTTCATTTGTAGCCTCTGACCCAAACTCCCTCGCCAACTATAATTGGACTCTGTATGGCATTTGCACAACCATGGAGGATGGAATATATGGCACGACTGGCAAAATAAATACTTCAGCCGTTTACAAACCACGTATAGACCTTGTGTGCATTTTGTGCACGGCCAAATAGCGCGAGTAAAATCAGCTGATGGTCGCACGTCTACTGTCTTTCGCAATGACGGGTGGGCCACGTGTTTTTAGCCCGTGGGCTCGCAGTCACACGGGGCCAAGTGTGATGAAACACCCGGCACCCGCCTCACACTCGGGGCAAGATCGAGCCCCGTTTACGGCATAACGGCATTATAAACGGGAGGGGGGGGGGCAATAAAAAGTCCCTGAACTCTGCCACTGTTCACTCCAATAGTATTCCGAACGTGTTTGATTTTTCTGGATCGTTAATTCTCGCCTTCGAGCGAGCGAACCGCAACAGGTGGGAACTACCTGACATCGTTTCACAACGTGCTGCGCAGCATATTAGGAGCTGGTCGATGCCAAAATTAATTTTGTTTAATTTCTTAAAATAGTTTTAGAATGCGAGTATGAATCGGTTAGATTCTAATAAATCTAGGTCGAGTAAGAGGAATTTGGACTCTGGGGAGTGGATGTACGAAGTAGATCTCTGATGATAAAATGGTTTAGGTTTTTAAAATGACTTGGGATGGCTTAACGAGGGATATTATTTTCAAGTATTAAGACATTGAACAATTGAAGTTCCCAAGTAATTTGGCGGTAATATAGGCGGTTCAGGCAAAAAAAAAAAAAAACATTTGTGGAAGTTTCTGTAATAGTAATACGTACCTACTGAATGATATTGCCGAATTTCCCTTCTTGGTGTTTGAATTGGAGTTCTTGTTGGAATGTTTTCGTCTGTCTCTGAGAGTTCTCGGACTTTCTCTTCGTATTCTGTGTAGGCTCGCTCCACATCCTCGGGCGATAAGTTAGCCTTAGCCCGGGCGATGACCTCGGGCGAAGGGGGCTCCTCCATGTGCAAAGTGGCAAGAATAGATTCCTTTATGGCTTCGAGTCGTCTCTCCTCTCGGCTATGACTATCGGTGGATGAGCTTCTGCTAGCTGGGTCCCCGGTGCGTGCAGTGCTTTGGTCCAGCGGGCCACCCGCTGCCCGCGCGGCGGGGGTACGGTGGTGAGGGGACGGCAGGCCAGAGGCGCGCTGCGCGCCCACCAACAACGTCAACAGGCACAGTACGAGAACAAGTACTGGTGAGGGGGACTCTTTGGCATGGAAAGGCATCTTCAAAGTCACACGGGAAACGACAGACGGCGGCGTCGTGCATACACAGCATCAGGACACGACGGGTGAGTTACGTACCGGCGAGAGGACACGATACGTATAGCGCGGAGCACTCGACCAGACTACTACACGCTGCACCTGCGAATTTGAAATCGCCCAGCACTTTTCTTTTCTTTTAACACGACCACTGGTTGACCGCCGTATAAACGCCATGTAGTCACACGCCAGACAACCAATCCCAGAGCTCCGTCACTTATAAGTCCCATGGTTTTGGTTGCTCACGTGGGCAACCCGCGTTCATCATTGTAATATCCAATGCAGATGCCTACGTAGTTGGCTAGACACACCGCCAACTAATTAAAGATGACTTTAAATTACAAGGCAGCGACACTCTACTGGCATTTCCGAGAGCAGGTATTCTGTTGTTGGTAAACTTTGTCAACCGGTAGCGGAAAGGCAATCGAGGAAACCGTTGGGGTCATTTATCAAGTGAATACATTGCACAAACCAATAGACGCTCTTGCGAAATACTTCACAAGGCAAACGCCCTCGCGCACCGGCCGGCGTTTAGTCACCGCATACCTACTGACGTCATCGTGTTCCCTGCCGCCACTGTTATATCGCACGTATAATAATGATTGCGCTATTATGTACTACACGGTTGGGTCGTTGTCAGTGAATTCCACGAAGTGGGCCTGTTCGATCATGATTGAGGATTCGTCTGCAGTTTTATATCCCCACCTCGATTCTACATCGATCGTTAAAAAGGGGAAGGGGAATACTAGGTCAGGTGTATGAAAATGTGTTTCCGATTCAAAAAGGTTCTGATTGTGATGTTGATCTAAATTCTGCGAGTCTAGTTCGAGGATTCCGGCCCACTCTATTATCGATTCGCACTGGTAATGAAAGCTATTTTCGACGAATTTTGTGACAGATGTAGCATTAAAATGGCCCCAAGGATTACATACTGTCAGAGATATCTAAGCTGTTGACCGTGGAATTCTGGAGGCAGTGCCTATGAAAGTGTCGAGTTGGAAGACCTTTTTTCCGAGTTGACCTGATGTATGACTAGGCCTAAGCTATAGTGACAGTAACGCTCGTTCATTTGTTTGCTCGCAAAGTCCTCCTTAATAATAACACGCGCACTCCGTGTACTTTGGCCCACCGGGGCAGTGATAAGGGCGATTTTTCATTTATTCACTATGTGCACTTGACCCTGGGCAATACTTGGGCTAGTCCAAGGGACAGTACGATCCAAACACGATGCGATGACGCACGGGGGTTTCAACCAGATTTCAGCAAGAATACACTTGCATTGCACTCGACTCCAATGGAAAGGTACTATGCACGATGGAAGCATGGTCTGATCGGACAAAATGGTGTTCAATGTTCGTTTATATTAGCAAACGAAATGTCAAAAGTTTTGCTTTCCACTCCTGGCTTAGCCCTTTTCAAGGGTAAAGTCCGTCACGAGCCAATGTGTCCCATCAGGCCGGCGTTTATCTCCTGTTTCAGTGGCATGAAACGACTGAGAATATTTCTACTCCCCCTGGATGGGACGCTAGTCCATCGTAGGTTACTCTCAAGCTAATGCATGTACCCATTTATACTCCTGGGTGGAGAGAGGCAAGTGGGGGTGAAGTGGCTTAGCCATCTTCAAGAGTAAAGTCTGTCACGAGCCAATGTGTCCCAACAGGCCGGTGTTTATCTCCGGTTTCAGTAGTATGAAACGACTGAGAATATTTCTCCATCGCAGGTTACTCCCAGCTAATGCCGGTACCCATTTATGCCCCTGGGTGGAGAGAGGCAAGTGGGGGTGAAGTGGCTGGATGTCCAAGGACACAACATACGACCAGCAGCTGGATTCGAACCCCTGACCCTCTGATCATGAGTCACGAACGCTAACCACTGGACCACACAATTCCTCTTCAAGCTCAATCCTAATCCCGTCTCCTTGCACGACTAAGCAAAACATTTCGGGATCTTTAACCAGGATAAAAGTCTGGGAATCCGCCCCCGCGCCCCCCCCCCCTCAACTTTTTCCGAGATAGCCTTAAAAACAATTTTTTTTCGCGACCCGAGCTGTTATGCGAGCTGTTATGACTTTTTTAGCCTCGAGCCTTGCGCATCTTATACTAAAAACATAAAAATCGGACACGGGTTGACGCGCAGCGAACAATTTTCAGGCGCTAGGCGCTGTGAAAACTGAATTTTCCCATATACGTCGTGTACACAGAGCAGAATTGCCATTCGTACATATGAATAAATTAATTTTCCATAATTCCAAAACCCATTGACCTATAGTCATGAAATTTCTTGGGTATGTTCATGATGAGTTGTTCTATGCATGTACCGAGATTCAAAATTTTTCGTCACTCGATGGCCGAGATCTTGGGGGAATCTGCCCCCCCCCCCCCCCCCGGCTGAGAGATGGTCAAAATAACCCAGCCCTTTTAGGGCTAACACCCCTGCGTGGTCGAACCGTGCGCAAATAGTTATGTCGTTCATCTAGAAGACGCAGAACGGCTGATAAAATAAGCAAGTTATTTCGCCCGGAAAGATCAGCACGCCGGAAAACTGAGACCGTAGCACCTGTCTCATACAAGCAGCACGGAAATTGGTGTCACGCTCTTCAATGTTCAATTACAGACAAACTGGCACCGCTGTTCGGATGGGGTTGTCTTGAAATGACACGCCCACATACAACTGCCGAATGGTCCGTACATAACACGGGACAAAACAAACACTGGGATATTAATATCGATTGCCCAAGTCATCAATTCGAAGACCAGTCTTCCTCATATCGCGATACTAATTAGACTTGTAAAGCCAGTTGACCTTTAAAAATATAGCACTGATATGATTTGTATCCCTCGTTTCGTCTTTTGCTACCGTGGTTTAATATCGACGCAAATTGAACTGCGGACGTACTTGAAGATCAACATAACAAGCGACTTATATTTGCGTACGCGATAGAAAGCGTCACAAGGCGGTACTTGTGAATACGACATGACGTAGATGACACCTAGAAGCAAATTGGACCGTCGCCGGTGCTCGACGCGCGCGTTATTAATTAAGTAACTGGAAATTTGGCGGTCATTTTTAGACGATTACGGAAGTCTTTGGATGCGTCGGGTTTATTTTTCAACGCATCATTGAGGTTGTCCAATTCTTTAATTTGACGTCTTAAATCAATGGGGACGGGACATTAGGAGGACAGTAATGGTTGAGTATTAAATTAATTGAAGGGAGAGGAACACACTTCATTTTATTCCTGATCCCAGAGGGCCAGCCTCCAGACTAGCTTTCATCTGTGTGACTTACACTGGTTGTAGACCGGTTAAGAGAGTCGGGCAGTGCTATTGCATAGGATTACCTCGTGACTCCTATGAATGGACTATATCCTGCCCATTGTGTCGAACAGATACATGCACAAACGTCCAGTGAAAAGCCATTCTGAATCCATTGACTAAAATATTATTGTGTGCACTCTGTGACCAGTTCTGTGCCCTAAGTAACCTGTCACCATGAAATATAATGAGCTTGAAGTTCGAAATTGTTACTTTGCAGTACAGTGGGGGCAAATTTGAAGGGCCTGTCACTTTGTTTTGGGGTAAACCTTAACTGCAAGTCCTCCGCTACCTTTCTCCATTTTTTGGTGTTCTGTCAAACATCTTAAACCTGTTTTCATCCCGTTTTAGTAGTTGACTGTTCATTAACTGTACGTAACTGGAGGCTTTTTAAATGCCATTATCTAAAAAAAATCGGTTATACAACCCCAAGTAAGTTGGTGGTCTATACTACTACTACTACTACTACTACTACTACTACTATTACTACTACTACTACTACTACTACTACTACTACTACTACTACTACTACTACTACTACTACTACTACTACTACTACTACTACTAGTACTACTACTAGTACTACTACTAGTACTACTACTATAATAATAATAATATCAGGCATTTATATAGCACTTTTACGCTGCAACAAGGTATCACGGCGCTTTACAATTATTATTTCCCCTGTTTCAACGTGCAATCACTCCTGAAACGTTCTCAGCTCCCTGGGGAGTATACAGCTGGATGTTAGGCGCAAGGGAGCTAAATCAACCACACTAACCATCTCTGCCCTCACAGGTACCTATTTACTCCTGAGTGGAGAGAAGCAATGAGTGACAAAGTGCCTTGCCCAAGGGCACACACACCGTGACCCCAGGCTGGACTCGAACCCACAACCTGCAGAATTAGGCCTACCCGCAAACCACAAATCCGATGCTCTTAACCACGAGGCCACATCACTCAACACTATTTCCGTTACTGAAGTCGGTACCCTGCATTGGAAAGCAATGTTCTGCAGAATCCAGATAAATAAATATCTCAATTCTTGCAAAAAAGTCTGACTTTAAGCTCATTTTGTGATGACGAGTCACATAAGTTGTTTAACCTCATCAAATAGATCACGATGAGAAACGGAATGGGTTCACTTTTGTTATTAATCAACAGATGGTTTTGCGATGAAATTTACTAAAGCGGGGTTTGAACCTTCGACCTCCGGAACACCGCACCCAGCCCCCTGGCGGGGTTTCCAAAAAGAATGGAAACACCTTTACTACTTTCCAAAAAAACAGGGCACAGTAAAACGCACATTTGCGATTTTCTTTTTCTTCGTTCGGGGAACTTTCTTTGTTCAAGATGAAAATGTGGTTCAAGTCGATGTTGTGGTTAAGGTAAGGCTATAGAGTATGCAGGGTAGGGCTGGAGACGGGGGTGGAACAGGTGTAGTGTTAATGGGTACGGCTACAATAGGAATGGGGGAATAAAGTTTAATTGGAGTTCATTGAACTGGACATTCGACAAATTATACATTTCCACAAAACCATGGAAAGACAAAACAGCTTTGTGTATAGTGATGGGTTGTGGTATAACGCTTTGGGTTGGAACTTTCTGGAAACTTTCAACTTTTCACGATTAAATTTTCACCCCCCCCCCAAAAAAAGGTCTACTTTTGTTTTGCTCTCTGGAACAAAATGAATGAAATTTACTGTATTTGTCCAGTAGGACCTTTTTGAGGTGAGATTTCATTGAATTGTATTTGTTCAATAAATTATGAACTATATATAGAAGGACATAAAACGATTCAAAGGTTATTTAGTGACTCTTCCGACCCCTCTCTTCTGTGTACATATTGCCGATATTATACGGGCTAATAAATACACCTGCGGTCTTCAAGTCAGAGGGTTTTACCCACAATCCCTAAATTATATCTCTTCGATGTTTTCCATTTAAAAACACACACAAATATTAGTAATGTTCATCTTTCAGGCTCTTCATTTTGCTGTAAAAATGTCTGGAGTGACGCAAAGGACTGAAGTGAAACGAGACAATAATTGGCTGACCCTGCTCTTAAGTGCATGGATATTTGAGTTTATACGGAATATGAAACAATCCAAAATGTCAAAACAAATTTAAATTGTCTGCGTACATTCGTTTGTTATTTGAAATTACGAAGACTTCCTCTGTACATTAAAGGGAATA